CTTTTAGAACTTCCTGTTTTTATAGCCTACAAAGTCGCTTTTTCGCTCTACAATATCGTAAAAGACATTTTCCTGGCCTATATTGCCTAAAAAAAAAAGTTGGAAATATTCCCATTTTTCTACCAAAACAATGGGTTAACCCCTTTGGAATAATGTTAATTTTTCGTCTTTTTGAACTTCCTGTTTTTATAGCCTAGAAAGTCGTTTTTTCGCTCTAGAATATCGTAAAAGACATTTTCCTGGCCTATATTGCCTAAAAAATAAAGTTGGAAATATGGCCATTTTTCTACCAAAACCATGGGTTAGCCCCTTTGGAAAACTATCAATTTTTCGTTTTTTTGAACTTCTTGTTTTTATAGCCTAGTAAATCGTTTTTTTTTTTGCTCTAGAATATCGTAAAAGACATTTTCCTGGCCTATATTGCCTTAAAAAAAAAATTTGGAAAAATGGCTTTTTTTCTACCAAATCAATGGGTTAACCCCTTTGGAAAAATATCAATTTTTCGTTGTTTTGAACTTCTTGTTTTTATAGCCTAGAAAATCGTTTTTTCGCTCTAGAATATCGTAAAAGACATTTTGCTGGCGTATATTGCCTTAAAAAAAAAAGTTGGAAAAATGGCTATTTTTCGACCAAAGCCATGGGTTAATAGCCTGCGCGCAGACCCGTTAAACCTTGTTTATAGCTATATCCACACTATATGCGATACGTGGGCCGGCTGCACCGCAGGCTATGGGTTAACTCCTTTGGAAAAATGTCAATTTTTCGATTGTTTGAACTTCTTGTTTTTGTATAGCCTAGAAAGTTGTGTGTTCTTTCTAGAATATCGTAAAATACATTTTCCTGGAAATTATTGCCTAAAAAAAAAAGTTGCAAAAATGGTTATTTCTTGACCAAAACCATAGGTTAACCCCTTTGGAAAAATGTCAATTTTTCGACTGTTTGAACTTTTTTGTTTTTATAGCTAAGAAAGGCGTTTTTTCTATGTAGAATATCGTAAAAGACATTTTCTTGGCCTATATTGCTTAAAAAATAAAAGTTGGAAAAATGGTCATTTTTGGACCCAAACCATGGGTTAACCCCTTTGGAAAAATCTCAATTTGTCGACTTTTTGAACTTGTTGTTTTCATACCCTAGAAAGTTGTGTATTCTTGCTAGAATATCGTATAACACATTTTTCTGGCCTATATGGCCTATAAAAAAGGTGGTAAAATGGCCATATTTGCACCAAAACCGTGGGTTAACCCCTTTGGAAAAATCTTAATTTTTTTACTTTTTGTACTTCTTTTTGTTATAGCCTAGAAAAACGTTTTTTCGTTTTAGAATATCGTAGAACACATTTTCCTGGTCTATATTGCCTAAAAATTAAAGTTGGCAAAAATTTCCTATTTTTGGACCAAACCATAGGTTAACCTATTTGGAAAAATCTCAATTTTTGGACTTTTTGAACTTCTTGTTTTTATGGCCTAGAAAGGCGTATTTTCGTTGTAAAATGTGGTAGAGCACATTTTCCCGGCTTAGATTGCCTAAAAAAAAAACAGTTGGAATAATGGCCATTTTTGGATTAAACCATTGGTTAAACCCTTTGCAAAAATTTCAAGTTTTCGTCTTTTTGAACTTTTTGTTTTTACATGTTCCTAGCTTATATTGCCCTAGAAAAAAAGTTCGAAAAATGGCCATTTTTTTTAGTTGAGATTTTTCCAAAGGGTTAACCCATGGTTTTGGTCAAAAAATGGCTATTTGCCACCTTGTTTTTTAAGGCTATATAGCCAGGAAAATGTGTTTTAGGATATTCTAGAACGAAAAAGCGCCTTTCTAGGCTATAAAAACAAGAAGTTTAAAAAGTCAAAAAATTGAGATTTTTCCAAAGAGGTTTACCTATGGTTTTGGTCAAAAAGTGGCAATTTTTCCAGCTTGATTTTTTGGGGTAATAGAGGGCAGGAAAATGTGTTTTAGGATATTCTAGAACGAAAAAGCGCCTTTCTAGGTTATAAAAACAAGGAGTTCAAAAAGCCCAAAAATTGAGAGTTTTTCAAAGTTATTAACCCATGGTTTTTGTCAAAAAATGGCCCTTTTCCTATCATTCTTTATAGGGAATATAGGCCAGGAAAATTTTTTTCACGATATTCTAGCAAGGAAACACGCTTTTCTAGGTTATAAAAACAAGAAGTTAAAAAAGTCGAAAAATTGAGACATTTTCAAAGGTTTGGTTTTGACTATGGTTTTTGTCAAAAAATGGCTGTTTTCTCATGTTGTTTTTTTAGGCAATATAGTCCAGGAAAATGTGTTTTAGGATCTTCTAGAAAAAAGAAAGGGCTTTTAGGCTAAAAAAACAAAAAGTACAAAAGTCGAAAAACTGAGATTTTTCCAAAGGGGTTAACCCATGGATTTGGTAAAAAAAAAAATGGTAATTTACTCATGTTGTTTTTTTAGGCAATATAGTCCAGGAAAATGTGTTTTAGGATATTCCAGAACGATAAAACCCTTTTTAGGCTATAAAAACAGAAAGTACAAAAAGTTGAAAAACTGAGATATTTCCAAAGGGAAAAGCCTTGATAGACGTTGTTTTGTTCTAGAGTATCTTAAAACACATTTTTCTGGCCTATATTGCCTGAAGAAAAAAAAAGAAAGAAAAATGGCCAATTTTTGACCGAACCCTTGGAAAAAAATCTCAATTTTTTGACTGTTTGAACTTCTTGTTTTATTAGCTTAGAAGTGCGGTTTTTTGCTCTACAATATCGTAAAACACATTTTCTTGGACTTTATTGTCTAAAGAACATTCTCTTTACCCAGAATATTAAAAAAAAATCTTTTACGGGTTATTTTGCCGAAAAAATACCGTTAAGAAAAATTCGATGGACTAACGCCTTTGGAAATTTTTTTTTTTGGATAATTTTAGAACTTCAATTTTATGGTCGAAAAAGCATTCTTTTTTACCCAGAACACCAAAAAACAAACGTTTCTTATTTACTTTGTACAAAAAATACCCTGGAGAAAGTATTCGAATTTTTAACAAAAACCGTGGACAAACCCATTTGGAAAATTATGATTTTTCTGATTTGTTTAAAATTTCACTTTTCCTTTCTATAAAACATTCTCTTGTATCCAGAATAGGAAAAAAATCTTTTCCGGCTTGTTTTGCCCAAAAAATACCAATAAGAAAACATTCGATTTTTTGACAAAAACCATGGACTTACCCGTTTGGAACAGATATCCACAATATCAAAAAACGATCTTTTCTGGTTAATTTGCTCAAAAAATACCCATGAGAAAATATTCGAATTTGTGACTAAAACATGGACTAACCGCTTTGGAACATTTGGATTTTTTGGCGTTTTCAGTGAAACTTTACTTTCCTTTTGTGAAAAGCATTCTTTCTACCCAGAACATCAAAAACCAAACTTTTCTTGCTCAATTTGTCCAAAAAATACCTAAGAGAAACTATTCGATTTTTTTACAAAAACCATGCATAGGCCTTTCCCGATTGCGCTGAGCACCTTTTGAGCACTTTTTTGAGTTTGGAGCACTATTTTGCATTTTGAGCACCCTTAAGCACTTTTTCGCACTTTGGGCAACATTTGAGCAATATTTCACATTTCGAACAAATTTCGAGCAACATATGTCTTCTAAAACATTTTAAAGCAAAAACTGTGTGTCGCTCGCAACGAGAATCGTGTTCCAGGTCACAAATTTGAATAACTAATGATGTTGTCAAGAATAAAAGACCATTGTCATGGAAAGGTACGTGGACGTATCCTTACTGAGTGTGAGAACAGAAGTTTCTGATTGGCTGATGTATCATGCGTGTGTCATCTCAAATTTCTAAATCATCTGATGTCTGGGCTTTGCACTAGTACTGCTGAATTTATTTACAATTCGTAACCGGTTTTAGTTTTTTAAAAATATTATTGTTCTATATTCTATCAACCTTTCGTAACAACCTGTCGAATAACACTACGCAAAATAGATTGTTAATTACTTCAGTAAAAATTGACATATTTACGAAAGGCTAAGAGGTAACTGTTCACAACTTTCAGCACTTTATGAGCACTATTTTGAGATTTTGAGCACTTTTTGAGCACTTTTTAGCCATTTTTGCCAGCACTTTTTTAGGATTTTACGAGCGCAATCGGGAAAGGCCTAACCATGCACTAAATTTCGATTTTTCTAACTTTTTTAAAATTTCACTTTTCTGGTTTAAAAAACATTCTTTTCTATCCAGAATATCAAAAGACGAATTTTTCTGATGTTCTGGGTAGAAAGAATGCTTTTTACACAAGGAAAGTAAAGTTTCACCAAAAAAATACCTATTTAGAAAACATTCGAATTTTGGACAAAAACCATGGACTAACCTTTGTGGAAAAATTTCCATTCTTCTGAGCTTTTAAAATTTCCCTTCTAAGGTCTAAAAAACATTCTTTTCTATCCACAATATCAAAAAACAATCTCATCTGGCTTAATTTTATCAAAAAATACCAACGAGAAAACATACGATTTTTTTGCCATGGTTTACCATGGTTTAATCCCTTTGGAAAATTTCGATTATTCTGACTTTTTGAAAATTTCACTTTCTGGTCTTAAAAACGTTCTTTTCTATCCAGAACATCTAAAAACAATCTTTTCTGGCATAATTTGCCCAAAAAATACATATGAGAAAGCATTCGTTTTTTTCACAAAAACCATGGACTAATCCCTTTGGAAAATTTTGATTTTTCTGACGTTTTTGTGACTATAACCATGAACTAACCCCTTTGGAAAATTTCGTTTTTTGGATTTTTTAAGAGTTTACTTTTCTGGTCTAAAAATTACATTTATTACCAAGGGGAAGAAATTATTTTATGCAGCCTGCGCCGCGTGTTATTATCCCAGATGGGGTGCATCCGGGACTTACAATGGTACATCTTTAACTATGTACCGTCGCTCCTGGCAGATTTTGCAATAATTTATAAGGGATAGCCTAGGGCTCCAAATTCCACTGTTCTTCTTTCAGCACATACTTCGCCCTGTTTATTGCTTTTTTAGCTGAGAAAAACTATGCAGCCTCCACAGTCTCTAGTTACATTTCCGCACTAAGTTTCCCCCATCGTTTAGCTTCTGTGCCGGACCCCACTAAGTCCGAAATGATCAAACTTGCATTGCAGGGTTACAGTAAAATGAACCCTTCAAGAGACACTCAGTTACTCATCTCATTACCCACACTCGAAAATATCACTTTGGCCTGCGAACACACAAAATCATCTCAGTATAGCAGAAAATTAATTCAGGCAATGTATGCTGTTGCTCTCTTTGCTGCCCTTAGAGTTGGTGAAATTACTTATCGGGGCAATCAACCTGGTCAAAATATTATTAGTATCGGTTAAATCGCCTTTATGAAAACCAGGGAGAGCACTGTCACAGCACTAAAGCTAACGTTAAGGAATCACAAGCATAGTGACTCTTCGAGCACATTAGATATTTTCATTTACCGAGAAAGACCAGTTTGCCAGGTCTTTCTCTGGTCAGATTATATAAATATTCTGGGACAATTTCCGGAACCTCTTTTCTGCTGGCCAGATGCCTCTCCAATATCTCGATCCTTCTTTGTGTCAGCATTAAAGGCAGACCTACAATTTTGTGACTTGGATATTTCGCACCATAAGACTCATAGCTTTAGGATCGGTGCTGCTTCCTGGGCAGTAGCAAAAGGTATGTCAGATACACAGATCAGGGATTTTGGACGCTGAAAATCTAGTGCATTTTTTTGCGATATATTCGAACCTCCACAATGGGGTCTCTGTCATCCTTCCAAGCGTAACTTAGTGCCGTTTGCCCATGCTTGCAGTGGTATACTAGTATGGACATAGTAAACGTCCCCAAACACGGCGCAGATCTGTTGTGCAGGGGCCAATTGTATCTGTGTTATGTTTGTCTTAACATTGACAGTGAATACAGAGTATTAGAGTCTGTGCCAAATCTTAGATTTAAACATCTTACATCTACTGAGTACAGTAGACAGTCTTATATTGCTTAATCCAACCATGTCTGCATGGGCCAATTGGTAAGTGGGTTAAGCAAACGTAGTTCATTATTCTTGTGGAGCTCCACAGTGTATTCTCTTTGTTTAACTTGAAAAAATTAGGCAGGGCCTGCTTAAGAGCATTTGTGCAAGGGCCAACTGTTTCCTAAAATGGCAAATTTCCTTGAGCATACCTTGAATGTATTATTCATACACAGGTGTAATTTAGGTACGGCTGCTGAGCAGGGTCCAGCAGGTATGACCTTTTAGGAGAGGGTAGTGCCGGTTTTGGGGACATTTGTGCAAGAGCCAAATGTTTCCCTTCAGGGTCACGGTTTTGTCATTTCACTCTGTGTGTTGGTGCCACACAAAACACTAAGTTTTGGCCTATTTTGCTCAAAAGAAAAAAATACAAAATTTCCTATTTTTGACCAACAAACCATGAACTAACCCCTGTGGTACAATGGAAAATTTTCGACTTTCTAAATGATGTATTTATAGTCTTAAATGGCTTGTTTTCTATCTAGTAAGCCACAAAAAAACTTTCCTTTGGCCTATTTTGCTAAAAAAAAGGACAAAATTCCCAATTTTGGCCAAAAAGCATTGGCTAACCCTTTTGGAAAAAAGCAAAATTTTCGACTTTTTTAAATCGCTGTTTTTATAGTCTAAAATGGCTAGTTTTGTATCTAGAAGACCACAAAACACTTTCTTTTTGCCTATTTCGCTGAAAAAGAAAAAAAGACAAATTTGTCAATTTTGACCAAAAATCCTGGACTAACCCCTTTAAAAAATGCAAAATTTTCGTCTCTTTAGTTTTAAATAGATGTTTTTATAGTCTAAAATGGCCAGTTTTGTATCTACAAGGTCACAAAACGCTGAGTTTAAAGTACAATAATAAAGTACAAATTTTCCTTCTTTGACACAAAATCAATGGACTAACTTCTTGCGGAAAACGCAAGATTTTCGACTTTTTTAAGTCGGTGTTTTTATAGTCTAAAATGGCTAGTTTTGTTTCTAGAAGGCCACAAAACACTTTCTTGTTGCCTATTTCGATGAAAAAGAAAAAAGGACAAAATTTTCAGTTTTTCACCAAAAATCATGGACTAACCCCTTTAAAAAATGCAAAATTTTCGACTCTTAGTTTTAAATTGATTTTTAGCTAGTCTTAAATGGCTAGTTTTGTATCTAGAGGGCCTATTTTGCTGAAAAAGAAAAAAAGACAAAATTTTCAATATTTGACCCAGAACCCATGGACTAATGCGACTTTTCGAAGTGGATGTTTTTATACTCTAAAATGGCTAGTTTTGACCAAAAAGCATGGACTAACTCCTTTAGAAAAATGCAAAATGTTCGACTTTTCTAAATGGATGTTTTTATACTCTAAAATGGCTAGTTTTCTATATAAAAGGCCACAGAACACTTTCTTTTGGCCTTTTTTGCTGAAAAAGAAAAAAGGACAAACTTTTTTATTTTTGACCAAAAACCATGCACGAACCCCTTTAAAAAAATGCAAAATTTTAAACTTTCTTAACTCCTTGTTGATATAGTCTAAAATTGGTAGTTTTCTATATACAAGTTTACAAAACAGCTTCTTTTAGCCTATTTTTTTTTTTGAGTAAGAAAAAAGAACAGAATTTCCAAAATTTGACTAAAAAACCATGGACTAACCTCTTTGGAAAAATGGAAAAGTTTTTACTTTTTTAAATCGACGTTTTTATAGTCCAGAATGGCTAGTTTTTTGTCAACAAGGCCACAAAACCCTTTTTTTTGGCGTATTTTGCTCAAACAGAAAAAGAGGAGAAAATTTCCTATTTTTGACCAATAACCAAAATGCAAAAAAAAATAATTGCCCAATTTTCGACTTCAAATCGATGTTTTTATAGTCTAAAATATTTAGTTTTTTATCTATGGCCACATAACAAGTTGTTATGGCCTATTTTGCTGAAAAACGAAAAAAGACAGAAATTCCAGTTTTTGGAAAAGTGCAAAATTTTCGATTTTTTTAACTCGATGTTTTTATAGTCTAAAATTATTAGTTTTCTATCTACAAGGTCACGTTACACTTTGTTTTGGCCTATTTTCCTCAAAAAGAAAAAAAAGAGCAAATTTCCAATTTTCGACCAAAAACCATTAACTTATAACCCCTTTGGAAAAATGCAAAATTTTCAACTCTTTTAAATCGATGTTTTTATAGTCTAAAATGGCTAGTTTTCTATCTAGAAGGACACAAAACACTTTCTTTAGGCCTATTTTGCTGAAAAAGAAAACAAAGACCAAATTTTTTATTTTTGACCAAAAAGAATGGAAAAATGAAATATTTATCGATGTTTTATAGTCTGAAATTGCTAGTTTTCTATCTACAAGGTCCAAAAACACTTTGCTTTAGCTTTATTTGCGTAAGAAATAAAGAATGAGGTAATTCGAAATTCTCGTTAAAAATCATGGGTTAACGTCTTTGAAAAAAGCAAATTTAAAACGTTCGACTTTTATAATATCGTTGTTTTTATAGTGTAAAACGGCTAGTTTTACATCTAGACATCACGAAAACACTTTTTTGTGCCCCATTTTTCTTAAAGCTAAGAATGAAGATATTTTAGGTTTTTGACCAAAACCATGGACTTGGAAAAATGCAAATTTTTCAACGTTTTTAGATCTTTGTTTTTATAGTCTAAAATGGCTAGTTTTCTATCTACAAGGTCCCAAACACTTTATTTCGGCCCATTTTACTAAATTAGGAAGACCGAGAAAATTTGGAATTTTTGACCAAAACCATGGACTAACCCCTATTTGAAAAAGGCAAATTTTTTTTCTTTTTTAAATTGACGTTTTCATAGCCTAGAAAGCGATTTTTAAATCACTTTTATGGACCTTTATTTCCCTTTCTTCAAACTGATTTGAGGTTTTATGAGCTAAACATCAAATTTTATATTTATTTGCTGGCTTGTAAGTGACGTCACGGCGGCCATGTTTGAGGTCAAAAATGAAATGATTTCTTTGCTCTCGAAACTTAACTATTTTCATGTACATTCTTTAAGTAAGAATTCTTTTGTATTGACCTCCAACATGGCGGCCTTGTCACCTGATTGCAAACCAAGAATCGACGCTCCTCCTAATTTTCAATTAATGAAAAGTAAAAAATTGGCCAGAATTTTCTTCCAAAAAAAGTTCAGAAAAACTTTTGTCCTTGTCCGAACCAAAAATGTTGACCGTTTAGAACTTATTTTAAACAAAATATGAAGTAAGTTACAATTTCAATAAGGAATCGGCGAAATGAATTGCTGAAGCAACAAATTAAGTTAATTCCTACCAGTTTTCAATCCAGTGTCCATTACGTAGGGTTGTTGTTAGATTTAGCGACACTCCAGTCGACCATGTTTTCCTCTTGTGCATTCGGTTGCCTGTGAAATTTCTTTCATTTGAATAACTGTATTGAGAAGCAGGTAGTCGCTTTAACTTTTTACTTCAGTTGTATAATACATTTGCATAAATACTTCTTCGCAACATTTGTTATTTTTTTGTCTTTGATTGCCTTTTTCCAATCAACACTTATTATGAAGAAAATGCTTTATTTAGCAATTCTATTGAGCTAAAATACTCCGGGAATGTTTTTGAAGCTTTTCAAATTTAAAATAGAACACTCACAACAAGTGATTTATTACTGGTTAAAAATTCTCGCGCTTCCGGTGTTAAATTACTGTAGTTTTTGCTGGAAAAATATGAAAAGACGAAAGAATGAAAAAACGTTTTATTTTTATTAATAGTGAGTTTTACATATGAACTGATAATACATGCTGTCTATAAAATCATACGCCAAATCTATGAAACAGCTGGTAATGCTTTTTGAATGTTTTAACAAGAATGATACTAAATTCCCCAGTGGCGGCACTGGCAGAAGGGTATGGTCTTCAAGAGGTTTATTCGATCCGGCAAAGAGTATAAGAGTCATGGAGTTTAATGTCTAGAATAGGGGGGCATTTAGAAGGAGGCTAGTCAAGTGCGTTAAAGATAAGAAGATCCGTAAAGCGGGAATTGAAAATTAAAAATATTATTTTGGTAAATCTAAAATTTAAAACTTAGTAAGTTCTGCCGAAATTACGACTAGTAAAGGCAGGGGATTTTGGGAGTTAAGTCAAGTATAGGCTAGCAAAATTCAGCTGAGTCCCAGTGGCACTTCTGACTCCCCCACCAAAAAAATGTCTTAAGCCTCCCGCGACTAAATTATGGCTGAGTGAGCTGGGCTGAGTGAGGGACGTCCATCAGCATAAACCAGAATACCGTGCGGCACGAAATTTTTGCAGGTTCTAATTTTTGCGGTTTTTCCATTGATCCGCAAAAATTAGGATTAGTTTTGGCACACTTTCAAGTTAAGCTACTTTGCTAAGTTGACTTTTTCTGGGCCCAGTTGTTCGAAGGCTGATTAGCGCTTAACCCGGGTTTCTTTTTCTTGTGTTCAAAAGCATTTTCTCGGATAATTTTCTCTGTTTATTTTAGAGCTTCCAATGATCAACTTGTAGACAAAAAGAATTAAAACTGAAATGCTTTTTAAGCTTTCATATCTGAAATCAAATCTCGCACTAGCCTTGGGTTATCCTAACCTATCTTTGAACAACTCGGTCCTTTAGTTTATCTACAAGTATTTTGGATTAGTTCCCCCTTTTGACGCTATAGTCCTTACGGTGCAATTATAATTTAATTAAAGTCAATGTTACTATTAGATCGTAAAACAAAGACAGCGACTAAAGGCTGGCACACTGCGTCAGTTCCGTGAGTCGACATAAAGCTGCTTGTACTGACGAAAAGCTTTCACGCGTTTCTTCTGCCACAGTAAATAAGAGATACCCACCAGACAGACTCCAATGACTACCGCCAAAGTAATAACAACTGGCAGCTGTAGACCTGTATAATAAGATTATCTTATATTAAATACATCTGAGCATAACGTAACGTAACGCTCGCATTAAAAGCGAAGCGTTACGTTAGTGATTGAGAAGTTAACTTTCACGATCTAGGATAGAGAATTCCACGTGATATTCAAGAATTGCTGATTCAGAACTACAAGGAACCTGTATTTAAAACGAGTGGGCTCGTAGTAATGATTGTCTTAATTCAACAAAATGAATCTTGGAATTTCAAGCATTTTTTGGCTGTCTTTACTTTAAGACCATAGAAATCACGTCAGCAAGGCTAAAACCCGCAAAGCTTATTCAAATGTTAATCCAGCTTTACTGTTTTATCGAAGTCGAACAGATTTCTACATACACAAAATTCATTTGCATCAAAAAAGTAAGCGACCGCTACTTACTGCGCTCTGCTTCGTGCGTGCTCTGATCCGACTTAACGGCTTCATCTGCATTCGCTACTCTCTTCTCTCGATCCAGAGTAAGCGGTCCTTGGGCCAGAGAATACTCGTTGTTAGCCGTTTCATGGAGAGTTTCAACGCTTCTAAGCTCACGTTTCACGCAGCCTCGAGCGCACCTTGAGTTTGGATCCGTGGCGTTGCAGATTTTAACTCTACAGTGCATAAACACGTAAGGGTGTTTGCTGACATACTGGAAGGCTTCCAAGCTAAAACGCTGATTTTGTGGGTTGGGCGGGTGGTGGAACTCCACTGTGTTATCAACGGCGCATCTGGAAACAGAAACAAAGTTTCCCTGTTTAGGCCATCATAGGGAGTAATACATTGACCAAAAACACACATAAACTAAATATATAATAATTATACCCTTCGGAGATTGATACGGAGCAGGAGGACCTCCTGATACAGAGCTATATGTGTGAGATACGTACCCGTCTTTTATAACATCGTATCTGGGCAGTGCATTCCTGTCCTGAGATGGGGTAGCAAAGCAGTCCAAGGCAAAAATCGTCAGTCGACGATCTTCAGTGTCGACGTGCAGCTCAAAGTACATTCTTTCTCGAATGGTAAACATAACAGGGAAGTCTTTTTGGGAGAATGGATTTTCGAAGCTGATAACAAAATTGAAAACCACAATCACTCAATTTTATACTATCAGTTTTTAGACTACAGGTAACAAATTAGTGAGCTCTTTATTAATGGAGGAGTTTTAACAAGTCTTCTGTAACTACAACAAAACTCTCTGTGACTGATTTTTAACAGCCCCAGGTTTTAGCAGTAGGTGTAATTGAAAATGCGTTCATCAAATCTCTTGTCTCCTCTCCATCCATGAAATATTGGTAGTCACCTGAGCATACGTCTACCCGCCCGTCTGTCCGCACCGCAAGGAAACCAATGCGAAAGGTTACACTTTCTAGCTAGCGTGGGAGCCTGTAACCTAGTGTTGCACATCCATGTTGTGGTCAATTAACGCTGTCAAAACAGGGTATCCGCTGACCAGTATCACATGACCGTATCTCAGGCTCAGATGTCGACCCAACAGGCTACGTGTTTTTTTAAGTTTACCGCTGACAAGTTTCTAGTATTCAACTGATCGCAGGCTCAACTCTAATGTGTCTTTTTAAAATTTTTTTCTAGTGTTTTTTTTTAATTAACGAGAGGTTTGCCTTTAGCTTCGGCTAAATCTATATATTAGGACGCTTGGAGTTAAGACAGGTCCTTTTTTAACATCAAAGAAAGCCTGAGGTGATCTTTCCCTTTTGTTTCAGAGAAGAGGTGAAAAACTGCAATGATTTATGTTAACCCTTTTTCAAACTCCCGTATTACATTAAACGACCTGAAAACTGGACTCCGCCTATTGAGAGTTTGACCCTTTGAATGTCCCGCGGGTGACCAACATCACTTAACGAAAGAAAACGTGATGAGAATGAATAACTTGATCTCTCAAGGGAAACCGCTTTGATCTTTTATCAAATTCTTTCGACATAGTTTTTAAGGAAATGTGTGGAGATCAATCTGGAGACATTGTATGTGGATATTGAGACTTAACACTTTAAGCCCCGACATCCACATAAAAATTCTCCAAACTAATCTTCATACATTTCCTTGAAGAATTAGTTGAGAGAATTTGATAGAGGGTCAAAGCATTTTCCCTGAGGTGATCATTGTTTGGAGAAATTGATGTTGATCACTCTTGGGACTTAAAGTGTTGAAGGGTCAAGTATCGACTACGAGTAAGAGTATTAAACCGAGATCTCATACTTTTTCTTGTTCTCGTCATCGAATAAGTGTTCACTTACGTTGGTTTGTTGAATAATTTCAAAAAGATGGTGAACTTTCCAAATCCTTTGGAGGAAAAAATGACCTTCTTGCTCATTGGTTTAAGCCCAACTGACGAAACCACGCCCCATTTTGAATAGCAGCAGAAGAAAGGGATCATAGCTTCACGTACGCGCGTGACTATCTGGTTCTCTTTGATGGGTATTTCAGAAACCATGTTGGTGTAGACGAAAAAGTCTCCTTTTCGTCTAAGCTTCGTTTTGCAGCCCGTGAGCTGGGTTTGAAGGAAGTAATGTGTCTTGTTTTCATATGCTCTACAGCTGACATCAATCAGCCTCAGGTGTTGACGGTCCAAACCTTCGAGCAGGGACTTGGGCAGAGTTATTTTCATATCATTTTGTCCACAATCCACTTCCACTCCTTCAGCTGTTTACGAAAAACAAACAAAAGCAGGATTGTTTCTCCATTTATACCGAGAACAGCTGCATCATTGATGCGACCTAATACAAATTAAAGAAGTGCCCGAGATCGGTTATTTAGATTATGTCAAGGCCGCCCTGGATTCGGAATGTACAAGAAAAGACGCTGTTCAGGATTGAAATTATAAACGGTGCACAGTTTTAGTGATAGAGCGATTTTCGTATGACCTTGAAAAATGGTTTCGGTAAGTGTTCGTTATTTGTTTTATCAGCCAATGGATGAAAAGATCAAAACATGGCCTCTTCGTTTTCCCGCCAAAGAAAACCCTAATATGGAGACGGCATTGTTTGATTGGCCAATCGTGTTGCAGTATGACGTCAAAGCGAAGTATCGATTGAACGCAAGCTTGTTCCATGTTTGGAATCACTTTTTTATGTCCCAACATCCGCCAATTAATTAAAAGTCTTAGAAGATTGAAGGAATCTCTGTAACGCATTTTCAAAGCAAATGTTTCGATAATTACCGTCGGGCGGGATTATTGGATCAAGGGCTAATTTTAATCGAAATGACACGATTATAGAATCTGTAGCTCAGGTTAGTCAGTTAGAGTTAGCTACTTTTAAAAATCCTCCGTTCTCATTTTACTATGTATCTAGTAGGGGCCGGACCCCTCTGACCCCGCCCACCCTCCCTTAAATCCTTCACTGAGTCTGGTACCTAGCCAAAAGCAACACTATTACATACCAATACAATGGCGTTTGTCTGGAGCGAGACTGAACTCAGGATCTGAACATGAACAATAGTAGCTTCCAACTGTATTCACACAAATATCTTGGCAGCCGCCTTTTTCATAAGCACACTCATCCATGTCTATATCACGAAGAAATGAAAGTAAACAAAGATCGCCACTTTCAAATATTTTCTCCCACTGACTTTCTTTCCATTAGTAATGGACTAGGTGGAGTACATTTCAGGGGGTAATCAGGCGACCAATGAAATTTAGACCACCATTATCCCTGAATTTTGCAAGGGGACAATCTTGGTGACAATTTGTGACTAAGCTAAAGTCCCTTGTTTTTTCGCCGTTCGTTTCAACAAAATAAGGTCAGGACTCCGGTTTATCGATATTCTGTGAGCGTTTTCAATAAAAAGAAATTATCACTCGCGCATGTTGTACTTGAAATCGGTTAAGCCAACTCGGCGCTCTGCTTCCATTTCATATTCAATGCGCGCTTGTGGATTGTTAAACATACCATCGAGATGATATATGCTCGTACCTGCAAAATATGATCAGCGCCGGCTGGTTATGAAGAGTTAGTCAAGGAAAAAAACAATCAAAAAAGGCGAAATATTTTAATGAATAGTAATTGTGTTCTACGCCAGGACAACACAACCTAAACTGAACGCGATAAGCCTGGACACAAGCATTTAGCAGAAAGAATCTCAATGTTAGGTTGGTTCAACCACCGGAAAATACGTCATAGACTCCATGGGCAAGATGCGCGCGTATCTAAAAGCATCAGAATGCGCGAATGCGTTATACTATTTACAACATTCGAACGCACTCCGTAATCCCTGATTACGGCTAGTTAATTACGGGTTATTCGCTTGATGTAGGGTCCAGTTTAGTGCAAGTTTCCCTGTAGCCAAATTTATGGCAATGTCATAAGAGCACTAATACTGTATTTACTTGCCTTGTGCGCATGTCCGTCCGGTATATCCTTTAGGGCAAAGACATTTGAAGCTGTTTCCAACATTCATACACTTCCCTCCATGTTCACAGGGATTGATGTCGCATGGCTTTGGTTGTCGTATAGCTATTTGATAAGTAACACAACAAATTCGGTCATCTGGCCCTAGTTGTTCAAACTTTGGAGAGGGCCCGGGGGAAGGGGGGGGGGGGGTGTGGGTACTCAACAAATGTTTACACGGGGAGGCTCCGCCCCGAGGTCCAACTTTTATATCCCATTTTTTACGAGAAAGGTACCCCTTTCGTTTTCCTTCTGTTGACAAATGGTATCCCTCTCACAAACCTTGTTTAGAACATTGCATCCCTTTTAACTGTTGTAAAAGCGCTGTTTTTTAAATAGTAATCAATCATAAAATAGAAAGTTTTTTTCGAATTTATACAGCCATAATTTCATCTGTTAGCCCTTTTGGACCCTGTCACAGACCCAAATGACAGATTTCCCTACCCTTTCACATACCTGAAGCCTGAAAAAGGTACTGCTTTCGGGCGGATCCTCCTTGTATACGCCATCATAGGGAGTACCCCCGGGTATTAGGGAAACCAATCGCGTTATCCACTGGACTAATTAAGATTTATCCTGTGCAAAGCATTGTCCACCTTTTGAACAACTGGGCCCCACAAGTGAGTGTTTAAGTTTTTAGAAGGTTTCAACAATTTCAGCAATTTCAGTATCCTAGAAATTTCAAAATAACTGCTTCGATCCCTAGTAGAGAGGGTCTGAATGGGGTTTAGTGTTTAGCGTTATTTGCCCACAATTTTTATTGTTTGCTGTTAAATTAGCCATTTTTAAATGTTTATTGTTTTCGGATAATATAATGTTAAATGTTTGGAAAGTTCTTCGGACGTCTTCAGTAGTGTTCGGAAATGTTCTGAGATTGTTGGGAACTGTCGAAAAATGGCCGAAAACTCTTTGATGCACTAAACAAAATAATATTGGTGTTTTAGAGCCGCCTTTCTTTCTTTGACGGAAAACTTTACTGTTAAGGTGACATTTTTACTGTTAGTGTTAAAATGCCTAAAATTTGACTGTTTCATATCGGGGAACCAAAGTCAGGGGTGTAGCCTGCTTTTCGACTGATTGTTGGCCTGGCTGTCTTTCATTCGTACATGTCCTGAAAATTGCACGCGTGACTAGTACGCAGTGACCTCACCAACACTTTCAGCTCTTTATAAGCTTTTTAGCTCACCCCAACAACGCATAATTTATAACAAGCGGTAGAGTGATCAAACCCGAAATTTGTAGGCCCGAGACTACAGGTCTATGAGTTAACTGCCTTCGCCCCCGAAAGTGTTCTGTGTTATCAAGGTGCTACCCCCATTCAGACCCTCTAGTAGAAGATGAGAACAACAAAAGTTTTAGTTTTATAATCAGCCCCAATTTACCAGCTACCCTCTGTATTTCGATCAGCATGAGTCAGATCTAAACTTTAATTCTTTTCAGAATTGGTAAATATTACACTGTAATTGCCTACGTGCAGACGTCTCCTATTTCCCTTGTTGTACGCGTGCAACAAAGGAAATAGGAGACGTCTGCACGCAGGCAACACTGCAGTGGAGGACAAAAGAACTTATGAATGTGTGAAAAAGCCCTTCCAAGTAATTGTTACGTAGGACCCTGCTCCTAACGACAATTTTTGGTTCGGCTTTGGGTTCATCCCGTCGTCCCCCCACTCCCCCCAGCAAATTGTGGCCAAAAGGCACTCATTTCTAACCATTTTGCTCAAAATTCAACTTTGTTTTGGGTGGGAGGGGAGAGCTCGCTAGTTTTAGTAATATCACCGGAAAGGTCCCAACACGTTTGACCTCCATTTTAGCTATAGGGAGGGTCTCAATGGGGGTGGAGGCTTTGACAGTGGACGCCGGTTAATTTTTTTTCGTATTTTGATTGTTGAAGGTTATTAAGCGGAAATTTAGTCAAAGAAATTTTAGAAATGTTAACTTCTGCATAAATCAATATTAACTTGTTGTGTTTTGGAGGTTCTCTTTAAGGACTTTAAGCCTTTCACTTATAAACTTTCGAGGTATTTTCAGACATAAACAAGTTGAAAAGTCTTGTAATGTCTAAAGAGAGTGCTTTTGAGATTATGTACATTCTAACTGGTTTTTTCAGTTTAGAGATTCTTCAGGAGCCAGAAGTCCTTGGAAATCGATCAGCTGAGATAGTAAGATTTGCAATACCTTCAAAGTTTTTGACAATTAACATGACCTGCATTTTTGAGAGTTGACAGTAAATGATTACCTTTATCGACGACTGACTGTTAAATTTCGGCCTTTTGACGGCTGATGATTAACCCCATTGAGACCCTCTATAGGCTCAACATAATTATTTCATAGTATCACGCAGAATTTTTTCTACAGTTTCTTTGGTCATGGCTTAACTCACAATGCCTCACCCAAAAGAAATGAATCTGGAAAATTCCCGCCCTCCACCATTCACCATTTTCACATAGACCATAATGCACCTTGTTCACCCCGCAGAGTTTTACATAACCATTGTTTCCAATATCTCCTGGGTATTACAGTCGTTCCAGGAAAAATCGAAGACTAAGGTTATGCAGAATTGTTGGAAGTTAACAATGTGCATTTAGGTCTATATGAAAATGGGGAATTTAGAGCGACCGGTAGCCCATGTGGAGGTAGGACAAGTTCGCAGACATGCGCGCACAGGCTTTAAAATTACCTTTCTTTCTCATCATCTCCTCTTGTATTTGTTTTTGGGTAAGCGCAACGTTCCATATTCCCATCTGACAAATTGCTCCGTTGAAGTATCTGCCATCGCTTAGCCTTGCACCCATTCGAACTTCAGGGTCGTTGGTCGAGATAGGTATCGATGGGGACCCCCTGCCAACATTCTTACTGGGAGCTTGTAGTACCCCATCGACATATATGGCGTTGTAACCAGTATTGAAGTCGTACGTGGCTGCAACATGAGCCCACATTCCAATGGGAAGAGGATTAACTGTCTGTACAAATGGATGAAAAGCGTGCGAGCCAGCTTTTGTGATTCTTACGAAGAACCTTCCTGCTTGGGCGAGCCAGATGTGAACGCCCCAATCGTTCTTATTGTAGTTAAAAAGCGGTCCGTCCTTGCCCCCGGGTTTAACCCAACACATAAGCGTGATTGAGTACTTAGCGTCTAGTATGAGGTTACCATTTGGAAACTCGATGTAACTGTTGGCCTGGCCTTTAAATTGATAGGCTCCATCAGGTACGTTGTATGGCCCATCCACGAGCTCAACGTTATGGGCGACGCCTTTGATTTCCGGCCTTCGAAGTAAATCTTCGGTTGTGTAGTTTCCATTCAGCGGGTAGATAGCCAATGGAGGTGGCACAACTGGGAGTGGGAGTACTGTTAAGGTATATTAATAGTACACATACAATCAGATATCTATGTAACGGGTGTTTTAAGGGGTTTTTCAGTTGCCCTCCCTGTATTTCAAATGATCTACAGGTGGAGGGTGTCGTATTTCCCCCCAAAATAGTCGTTCCTCGATTAATCGCCTCCCTCGAATAATCGCCCTCTGTTGACGGAAATATGTAGTAATCGTTCCATGTTTGGTATCACTTTTTTTTATATCCCACGATCCGCCAATTGGTTAAAAGTTAAAAGTCTTCGAAGATGAAGCAATCTCCGTAACGCGTTTTTAAAGCAAATGTTTCAATAATTACCAGGATTATTGGATAAAGGGCTAATTTTAGTCCGAATGACACGATTATATAATCCGTAGCTCAAGTAATACCAATACGCACACTCATCGATGTCTATTTCATGAAGAAATGAAAGTAAACAAAAATCGCCACTTTCAAATATTTTCTCTCATTGACTTTCTTTTCATTAGTAATGGACTAGGTGGAGTACATCTCAGGGGCTTATCGGGCGACAAATGAAATTGAGACCACTATAATCCCTTAATTGCTCCTTGTTTTTTCACCGTTCGTTTTTAAAAAAATAATTTCAGAAAGGTTTATAGATATTCTTTGAGCGGTGATTTTCAATAAAAAGCGCGCTTGTTGTATTTGACATTAGTTAAGCTGACTCGACGCTTCGCTACCGTGTTATATTCAATGCGCTCTTATGGAATAATTGTTAAACATACCATCGTATCGAGAGGATATATGCTGGTATCATTAAATTAATGATCAGTGCCAGCTGGTTATATTATAAATAATAATTCTATAACCAGTGGTTATTCGCTTAATGTAGGATCCAACTTCATACAAGTTCCCATACCAAATTTATGATGATGTTATTTTTAGAGCACTAAACGGTGTCTTTACTTGCCTTGTCCGCACGTCCGTCCGGTATATCCTTCAGGGCAAACACATTTGAAGCTGTTTCCATCATTCATACATGTCCCTCCATGTTCACAGGGATTGATGTCGCATGGCTTTGGTTGTCGTATAGCTGTTTGATAAGTAACACAATAAACTGAGTCATCTGGCCCTAGTTGTTCAAACGTTGGATAGCGCCCCAGGTGGTACTCAACAAGTGTTATACGGGGAGGCTCCGCCCCGAGGTCCAACTTTTATATACCATTTTTTACGAAAAGGTCCCCCTTTCGTATACCTTCTTTTGACAAATAGTACCCCTTTCACATACCATGTTTAGAACTTTGCATCCCTTTTAACTGTTGTAAATGCACTAGTCGTTTAAACAGTAATCAATCACAAAGTAGAACGTTTTATCAACTTTATACAGCCATAAAATTCATCTGTTAGCCCTTTTGGACCCTTCAACAAACCTAAATGACACATTTCCCTACCTTTTCATATACTTCAATTAGTGAAATCCCTACCCCTTTCATACACCTGAAGCCTAAAAAGGTACCCCTTTCGGGCGGAGCCTCCATGTGTAGGCCATCTTAGGGAGTACTCCCCAGGGATAGCGCTATTTACCGGATAAGCATTAGGGGAACCAATTGCGTTATCCACTGGATAAATTATGATTTATCCGTTGGAAAGAGTTGTCCACCTTTTGAATAACTGAGCCCTGCAAGCTAGTGAAGGTTTCAACATTTTAGGCAATTTCAGTATCGCAAAACTGAGTTAAGTGGTGAACATGGTGCATTCAGGTCTATGAGAAAAAGGTGAATTTCGAACGGCCGGTATATTAGAAAATGGTCTCAACGTCACATTTTGCTCACATGGTGGTAGGACAAATTGGCAGACACGCGCGCTCAGGCTTTCAAATTACCTTTCTTTCTCATCTCCACTTCTATCTGTTCTTGGGTAAGCGAAACATTCCATATTCCCATCTGACAAATTGCTCCGTTGAAGTATCTGCCATCGCTTAGCCTTGCACCCATTCGAACTTCAGGGTCGTTGGTCGAGATAGGTATCGATGGGGACCCCCTGCCAACATTCTTACCGGGAGCTTGTAGTACCCCGTCCACATATATAGCGTTGTAACCGGTATTGAAGTCGTACGTGGCTGCAACATGAGCCCACTTTCCTATTGGAAGAGGATTAACTGTCTGTACAAATGGATGAAAAGCGTGCGAGCCAGCTTTTGTGATTCTTACGAAGAACCTTCCTGCTTGGGCGAGCCAGATGTGAACGCCCCAATCGTTCTTATTGTAGTTAAAAAGCGGTCCGTCCTTGCCCCCGGGTTTAACCCAACACATAAGCGTGATTGAGTACTTAGCGTCTAGTATGAGGTTACCATTTGGAAACTCGATGTAACTGTTGGCCTGGCCTTTAAATTGATAGGCTCCATCAGGTACGTTGTATGGCCCATCCACGAGCTCAACGTTATGGGCGACGCCTTTGATTTCCGGCCTTCGAAGTAAATCTTCGGTTGTGTAGTTTCCATTCAGCGGGTAGATAGCCAATGGAGGTGGCACAACTGGGAGTGGGAGTACTGTTAAGGTATATTAATAGTACACATACAATCAGATATCTATGTAACGGGTGTTTTAAGGGGTTTTTCAGTTGCCCTCCCTGTATTTCAAATGATCTACAGGTGGAGGGTGTCGTATTTCCCCCCAAAATAGTCGTTCCTCGATTAATCGCCTCCCTCGAATAATCGCCCTCTGTTGACGGAAATATGTAGTAATCGTTCCATGTTTGGTATCACTTTTTTTTATATCCCACGATCCGCCAATTGGTTAAAAGTTAAAAGTCTTCGAAGATGAAGCAATCTCCGTAACGCGTTTTTAAAGCAAATGTTTCAATAATTACCAGGATTATTGGATAAAGGGCTAATTTTAGTCCGAATGACACGATTATATAATCCGTAGCTCAAGTAATACCAATACGCACACTCATCGATGTCTATTTCATGAAGAAATGAAAGTAAACAAAAATCGCCACTTTCAAATATTTTCTCTCATTGACTTTCTTTTCATTAGTAATGGACTAGGTGGAGTACATCTCAGGGGCTTATCGGGCGACAAATGAAATTGAGACCACTATAATCCCTTAATTGCTCCTTGTTTTTTCACCGTTCGTTTTTAAAAAAATAATTTCAGAAAGGTTTATAGATATTCTTTGAGCGGTGATTTTCAATAAAAAGCGCGCTTGTTGTATTTGACATTAGTTAAGCTGACCCGGCGCTTTGCTACCGTGTCATATTCAATGCGCTCTTATGGAATGATTGTTAAACATACCATCGTATCGAGAGGATATATGCTGGTATCATTAAAATAATGATCAGTGCCAGCTGGTTATATTATAAATAATAATTCTATAAACAGTGGTTATTCGCTTAATGTAGGGTCCAACTTCGTACAAGTTCCCATACCAAATTTATGATGATGTTATTTTTAGAGCACTAATAGTGTCTTTACTTGCCTTGTCCGCACGTCCGTCCGGTATATCCTTCAGGGCAAACACATTTGAAGCTGTTTCCATCATTCAGACATGTCCCTCCATGTTCACAGGGATTGATGTCGCATGGCTTTGGTTGTCGTATAGCTGTTTGAGAAGTAACACAATAAACTAGGTCATCTGGCCCGTAGTTGTTGAAACGTTGGATAGCGCCCCGGGTGGTACTCAAGAAGTGTTTATACGGGGAGGCTCCGCCCCGAGGTCCAACTTTTATATACCATTTTTTACGAAAAGGTCCCCCTTTCGTTTACCTTCGTTTGACAAATGGTACCCCTTTCACATACCATGTTCAGAACTTTGCATCCCTTTTAACTGTTGAACTGAGTAATCAATCACAAATTAGAACGTTTTCTCGACTTTATACAGCCATAAATTCATCTGTTAGCCCTATTGGACCCTTTCATAGACCCAAATGACAGATTTCCCTACCTTTCCATATACTTCAACAAGGGAAATCCCTACCCTTTCATATAACTTAAGCCTGAAAAAAAGGTACCCCTTTCGGACGGAGCCTCCCTGTATAAGTAATCATATGGAGTACTCCTCGGATAGAGGTATTTACCGGATAAGCATTAGGGAAACCAACTGGGTTATCCACTGGATAAATTATGATTTATCCGTTGGAAAGCGTTGTCCACCTTTTGAACAACTGAGCCCTGCAAGCTAGTGAAGGTTTCAACATTTTAGGCAATTTCAGTATCGCAAAACTGAGTTAAGTGGTGAACATGGTGCATTCAGGTCTATGGGAAAAAGGTGAATTTCGAACGGCCGGTATATTAGAAAATGGTCTCAACGTCACATTTTGCTCACATGGAGGTATTACAAATTGGCAGACACGCGCGCTTAGGCTTTAAAACTACCTTTCTTTCTCATTTCCACTTCTATCTGTTCTTGGGTAAGCGCAACATTCCATATTCCCATCTGACAAATTGCTCCGTTGAAGTATCTGCCATCGCTTAGCCTTGCACCCATTCGAACTTCAGGGTCGTTGGTCGAGATAGGTATCGATGGGGACCCCCTACCAACATTCTTACTGGGAGCTTGTAGTACCCCATCGACATATATGGCGTTGTAACCAGTATTGAAGTCGTACGTGGCTGCAACATGAGCCCACTTTCCTATTGGAAGAGGATTAACTGTCTGTACAAATGGATGGAAAGCGTGCGAGCCAGCTTTGGTGATTCTTACGAAGAACCTTCCTGCTTGGGCGAGCCAGATGTGAACGCCCCAATTGTTCTTATTGTAGTTAAAAAGCGGTCCGTCCTTGCCCCCGGGTTTAACCCAACACATAAGCGTGATTGAGTACTTAGCGTCTAGTATGAGGTTACCATTTGGAAACTCGATGTAACTGTTGGCCTGGCCTTTAAATTGATAGGCTCCATCAGGTACGTTGTACGGCCCATCCACGAGCTCAACGTTATGCGCGACGCCCTTGATTGCCGGCCTTCGAAGTAAATCTTCGGTTGTGTAGTTTCCATTCAGCGGGTAGATAGCCAATGGAGGTGGCACAACTGGGAGTAATATTAAGATGTATATTAATAGTACACATACAATCTAATATAATTATGCAACGGATGTTTTAAGGGGGTTTTACAGTTGTGCTTCCTGTATTGTACATGAGGCCAAGGGTGGAGGGTTCTCCCCTACTTAGGTAGGTAGGGTTGACCAGGGTATGCTTCTCAGATTCTTGAGTCTTAAACAAGTTATACAATTTCACTATTTAGCGTCTTAAACAGGTTGTTTCCTTTTGGACAGGAAGCATTTAAACAAGGTCTCTTCAGTATCTTATAACAGGGTAGCGAAATGAATGATTTTTGTCAGAGCGTAGGTGTTTGAAGGCCTCGGCGACACACCTCTAACAAAACTTGAGTGCCCTCGGGGACTTGAGCTTTTCCCAGGTGGTGGTCGCTTGACGAGAGAGATGCTCTAGTGTACATTCCCTTCCATGCACCTCCTTCAAAAATGTGCTGCACTTTATAGGACATTTACCTACATCCTCCTGTTCTTCCATCAAGGGATCTTCTTCCATGGTTCCATCTAGGAATGATAAGGCAAGAATTCTAAATTTGAGCAGAAATAGTAACGAACGTATAAACTAACTTTAGGATTTGAAAACCGTGATTGCTCGAGTGTTTATCTTTTATTGGCGAAAACGAAACCAATGTTAATGATATTACCGACCATTAATAAGAACATGCGTGAGCTGCGCCTTAGCTACGTTGCGTCTTATTTAAGATGTGAGGACGTAATTTAAGGGGGCACTCTGGTTGCTTTTTTGGGGAAATGATGTTGATTTGGGAAGGAGATAAAGTGGAATAGAAAAGGTATACGCATGAACAAGTTAGCCCGCTAGTGGGATCAGAGGCACCTTGTTGTGGTGGTGGACCGTCTGGTATATATACCTCATTTCATACATCTTCAACAATTAACCCCCAAATCCAATATTTCCAGTTTTCCCAAATTTTTAATACCCCCCGCCCCTAAATTTTTTTCTCTCCAAAAATCGTTACACCAAGGACCACAAACCAATTGAGTCATTCCTCGATTGAATGAAATCTTGGTTAGATATTCAAGAAAAATAGCGAAAANATGGTGCTGTGGCAAGCGGAATCTGGTGGTGGCTCGGCATATTGCTGAACACTACCGTCAGTTGTCTGACAGTCTGCACAATTAGCACAGTTGCGTGTCTAATAGCGACCTACTGAGTAGTATGAGATGGCAGATGATGAGGAGGCGTGTGTGGGGGGGGGGGTGGGGGGGGCGGGGGGGGGGGGGGGGGGGGAAGCAGGGGCGGCCCAAGGCGAAGTACGAAAAAGATTATTCATGTATGGGAAAAACGTAAACGTACCTTTTCCAACATTTAAAGTTACCATAGCATTAATAAAAATTTGTTTAGTGATGACACAGTTGAAAATCGTTATTTATTGAAAAATTCAATAGAAAATTTGTCTCTTTGTGTGAAACAGGAAAAAATTAATGCAACTGGTCTTAACTAATGACCTCTTGTTTTGTGTGGGCTCATTTGTTTAAAGATTACAGCTGAGATTATAGAGGAAAATAGCTCCAGGCTGAATTTTATCTTATACTTTTAAAGGTTATGGACCATCATAACATAACAACATACACTTTACTACGATTCCTCTATACGGGGCCATTCTGTCGTAATATACAAAAATAAAATTGCAATGGGGCAAAAATATTTACAACAACCGTGAAAAGTATAATTCAGTAGAGGTTAATACGCACTACAACAGAAAAGTCCAAGGGGAATACTCCCTTATATTAGCCATCATGTATTGGCATGTGGCGCACCAAAGGGCAGGGTTTTGCGCCGTTTTGGTCTGAGAACGGGAATAGATTTTGCCCGTTTTGGTCTGAAAACGGGTATGGTTTAGGAAGGAACTACGGTTGTGTATCAATGTGTTCGTCGTTTCAATTGCAAATGAATGAGGAAGAAAGTGTAATATGCGAATTCGAAATGGATTTTAAGAAATCTTTTTGTTGCCGTTTTAATCTCAGCAATGATGACTATATTATTTCCAGTACAACAGGAAAGTACTGCTCAGTAGCTTTCGTTTGATTAGTCACACATTAATTAAAATCTCATCCAAAGCCTCAAAGGCTAGAAACGACGCTAGAAACACCTTGTACAACATAATAAATAGTACCACAGGAAAGAACTGTTTAGGACAGTCGCGTCATTTGAATAGGCAAATTCTATTATCTAGTTCTAGCCTGGCCTAAAGCAGCCATTTTTTTCTTAACGGCGTCAGTTTGCAGACGCGCCGAGGCTTGACGCCATTATTCTAAAATCATGTTGAAGTATCGGTCTCGCATTTTACAACAAGGGTCTCGGCCTCTCAGCGACTCTTGGATTTTACAGGTGGCCAACACTACCTAAAGCTCTCTAAGGCATAATCGAGAAGATTGGAAATGCGAATTAAATTAAAGCTACGTTTTTGCTGTCTTTGCTTAACTCTCTATTGTCATGACCAATGTCTTTTGTTTCTTCGCGTTTTTTTTATTAAGTTTGTTTGTTTGTTCTTTTAACCATAGATTATGACCCTTACCTTCGAAAGTGGCGGCGGTTTTTTCCAGCCCCCTTGTGGCAAGTACATGTACAAATAGTAAAACATGTAGCACAAGAAAAAGCAGATTTCTTTCCTTCATTTTGGCTTAGCGGCAGGGAATTCTGTGTGTAAAAATATAAAATGCACTGCGCTGCTTAGGTTGCTGCTTTGTTAATACCCTGATTTTTTCCGCCTTGCGGTAACTTTTAATGACTCTTGAAACATTCTTTAAAATGATTGTTCATTGAAAGAAATGGAACGGGTCAGAGAAGCCTTATTGTTCTCTCGCTGTGGTTGGGGTTAATTTCTTAGTGAGAGAACAATAAAATTGCGTTGTCGAAAACAGGAAAAAAGTTCTGATGTGAACTGTGTATGAATTTAAGGGTTTTATGATAAAATTTGAAAACACAGGTAAGGAAACTTCAGTCAACTGTCTTTGTAAGACGGACACTTTTGCAGGGACCGGCATCAACAGTCCGTTTAAGAGAGATGCCCGTCTTAGAGATAGTAAGATAAAGGGAGTACCTGAGGCAGGGACCAACTCTAGGTGTCCGTTTTACTTTAGAGTTGCCGTTGAGAGAAAGTCAACTCTAATGGAAAATTCGATGGTACTATACGACACATTTAAGTTCAAAATTCGATGTTTACTTCCCTTCTATACCGTCAGAAACATGATAAACAATAAGTTCGTCTGACTCTCTATGAACTTGAGGTCAACGTGCAACGATTTTTGGCGACTGGTTCAGAGGCGGCTATTTGTATTTATTTAGGAACTGGAGCGGGGAGAACATTTATTATGTGCATTAAAAGCTGAAACGTGAGCTGTTATCGCTTTGAACTCCTGGGGGAGGGTGACGCACTCAAGGTAAGTTTTAGTAGATCTAGAGGTGTGCCGCCGATTGATTCAAACTCTGACCCTGCGTAAAAATCGTTCATAATTCACTACCCTCTTTGACATAAGGGACCTTTTTCTAGACCCCTTGCGTGTACAGCAATGAGATATTTTTTAAACTAATATCATCGGAATTAGATTTTCTTGGAAAAAATTGTTGGTACCATACATGAAAGCAGTTCGCTCATCGCCAACCTTCTCACTCTTTTAAAGGCTTCCGGTCTAAAAACGACAGCCTGTCTAAGATGCTAAATAGAACTTTAAATAGTGAAATCGTGTACCCTGTTGGGGGACTTAAGAACCCGCAAACCAGACTCTTTCTAGTGGAACACACCCGCTTAGGCCAAATAAGGTAGGGTTGATCCTCCGATGACTTAAAATCCTGAGCCTGTTTAAGACAACATCCGTTCATTTAGCTACCCTAAAAAACTTTTCTTTGTGAGGCTGACTTTATTCCGCAAAAAGTGTCTTCATAGAATCAGATTTAAGAAAACTATTTTGGTACAACAAATGCAGACCGTGCACGGCCAACGTCCAGACTCCGTTCAGGCCCCAATTGCTCAAAAGGTGGATAGCGCTATCCACTGGATAAATCTCTATCCAGTGAATAGTGCAATTGGTTTCCCTAAGACTTATCCACTAGATAGCGATTTATCTGATGGATAGCGCTTTCCAACGTTTGAACAGAAGGGGCCGGAAGGACACCCTAAGTAATCCCCTTCCTCCGGAAAAACTGCTTAATTTCCCACGCGATGAGGTTTTTTGATACGGAGGCTAATTCAATTTATCTTTTATATTTCCTTTATTTTCAACCCTTAGCCAACCTTGCCCGATCAACGAATATTATTGACCAAAGTGAATTTTTTAGTTTTGTTTGACGCATGTCAACTTATGACGTCACAACGACTGACGTCACCAAAGTGGGTTTAGTGAAATTTTAAATTATGAAGTCGAATTTGTATCATCTAAAAGAGCTAAAGAAGCGAAGTAAAACACTGAAAACCGTTTCCTCGTAACGACACGCACGATTCTGGGTCAATGGAAGGAAAAATATAATGTTTCGATAAATCGGAATTAGAGTATTCACCAAATCGTCTCCTCTCCTGGTTAAAGTCGACTATTTGGTCTGCTTAAGCCTCTAAAAAACGGGGGCTGGGGGGGGGGGGGGGGGGGGGAAAAGCTTTTAACAGGGGGGTTGTGCCCGGGGGCCCACCCCCGTTAACCCCCTTCCCCTTTTAAAACTTTTTTTTTTAACAAAAAGTGACCCTTTCCCAATATTTTTTTTTAACAAAGGGTAACACTTTAACCACATTCAC